CAACAAAAAGCCACTACCTTGGTAGCAATGATCTTTAAAAGAAATTCTCAATACCTCTTACAAAACTGTTGAAGTTTATTACACGTTCGTTTTAGGAAATCCTTTTGACTCTTTTTGAAGTAAAATTTTAACCCTTTCGAAATTTACGTAAAAAAGTATTGAAATTTTTTTTTTTTTTTTTCTGAAAAATTCTTTTGACTATCAAATGGGATTGTATCTTTGCCCCTCTCGAATGACTCCTGATTTGGATCGGAGAAGTGTTCGGATTAAACCCACTGAAAAAAAAGTTTGATCGTTTGAGCCGAACTTTCGATTTATGAAACCAACCATTCGGTCCATGAGACCAAACTTTTTGACTGAGCCAAACTCTTAGAAAAATTCGGTCCCTCGAACTGAAATTTTGTTTTGAGCAACCGAGTACTTCTTTCGATATGAAACCCAGTGCATTCGGCTATCACTATCGAACTTTTCTTTCAGTCTGCTGCAGTAATTCGCTGCATGGTCGTCACATTTTCACCTCAACAACACATCATCAGGGTTGCCACAGTCAGGGAATACCGGTAAATTTCAGGAAAAGTGACGAAATTGTCAGGGAAAATTTGTTAAATCACTTTTATTTGCCTTGTAGAATGGGTTCGAGGTTTTGAACGACAAATTTTGCCTGAAAACCATTTTCAATTATGTCTTCTGTACCATCTGTCATTTCCTCAATTTTCAGGAGATTTCTCCAAATTGTGGCCGGGAAATTAGGGAAATGTCAGGGAATTTCATTTTCCAAATCCTGTGGCAACCCTGTACCATACAATCTATCAAATTTGGTGGCAGAATATTCAAGCTACCTTCGTTTCGATTTGAGTCGCGCTCATATCTCACATTTCTTCAGCATCCTTTGATGTGAGTCACGACTTGGATGTCCAGATCAGGGGTGCTGCTCCTTATACGTTTCATGTTTGTGTATGTGTTTGTGTGGTCGTATCCTTGAAACTCGGTTTGATCATTTCAGACCGGCCCGCGGTTTCTCTAACCACCTCGCAAGTAGCATTAAGCACCATGGCGGCTGGTGGCGCCGATGAAGCCGTGGGGCTTAATTTAGGACTGAGTGACGTCAGTAAGTAACAAGAGATTCATCTTTCATTGCATGCTAGCTTTATGCCGCAATTACACGCTGAATGTGGCTTCAATGTGGAAGTCATCGGCCCGATGCGCGTGTCGCGCAAAATTCAGCAACGGTTCTCAGCGACCATCGGCCAATGTCGGATTGGTCTGAACTATTCGAATAGATTTGATACCAGAGTTGCTAAAAGAAATTTCATCGAATGAAATTTTGTGAAATTTCACAAGAAATTTCATAAAATTTCTTTTTCCCCCATGAAATTTCTTAAATTCCTTGAATTTCATGAAATTTCTTAAATTTTATGAAATTTCTTAAATTTCATGAAATTTATTTTTTCCCCATGAAATTTCTTGAAATTTCTTCATGAAATTTCTTCGTATAACCACGAAATTTCTTAATTCTGTTTGATACACATATACACATCTGGATGAAAATAACTCGAATTTGCGAAATTTCAGCTGTTGAGCGATGACTGTTGACTTCCATATTTAGCTGCCAAATCCAGCGCGTGATTCCGGCATTTATCACCTTCGTTTTAACATTGTGACATCGGAGCTTTTTCATTCATGTTTGTGCTACCTCCCTCCATGCGTCCCTCCTTCAAATCATGAACACCAATAGGCATGGAGGATTTAGATATCTCGACGTGGAGCGATCGAAATCCTGGTTTCCTGTTGGTGTTTCACTTTCAACAAGCACTTGTAACTCGCAGGTGTATCCGCCTTACTTTAAGTGCCCAGCCCCCGTTCAAACTGGGGCTCTCGAACTGGCAGTATAATCATTCAATTTCTCAAGCCATGTCAGCACGATTTTCCTTGAATATTTCAACGCCTGATCTGGTATGTGTCCCGAACACATCGGTTATTTTTGAAGATCGTCGGTCTTTGAAAGGAAACAGTCAACATTTCCATCGATGAGCCTCTTGAAGCCCCTGGTTGCTGCGTGGGCTGGACGCTACAGACTCGGCTTTTTTCAAAAGTAGAAAATGGAGATGTTGCATGTGTGAGGAATTTGCGATTTGACTGCTGATTCTTGTGTAAAAGTTCACGAGAAACACAATGGTACCACTGGTTTTCTCTGAAATCAACTCCCAAGCTCAAAAAAAGCTCTCAAGTTGAGGCCAAAATGGAGGGGAAATCCCACCCTACCCTGAGAGTCCACCTCTACATCAGAACAAACTCTCCATGCAAAGATAGGGAGCAAATACATTAGCAGGGTTGCCGTGTTTTCAGTTTTAGAGTCCCCAAATAAATTGGCAGCCCTGTCAATGTATTTGCCCCCTATCTTTGAATGGAGAGTTTGTTTTGATGTAGAGGTGGACTTTCAGGATAGCGTGGGATATCCCCTCCATTTTGCCTCGACTTGAGAGCTTTTTTTGAGCTTGGGAGTTGATTTCAGAGAAAACCAGTGGCACCATCGTGTTTCTCGCGAACTTTTACATAAGAATCAACAGTCAAATCGCAAATTCCTCACACATGCAACATCTCCATTGACACATGTCATAGCAACTCTGCGAGTATGCTATCTGTTATAGATTACCTATATGGGGGAGAGTAAACGGATATGCCGAAATATGGAGCTCTTAGGGCTCAAAAGGACAGCCTCCCTTATAACACGAAAAACACCAGAAAATATCGCTGCCAATACCAAACCAAAGAAGCCATAGAACCATAGCCAAGAATGCACAAAAATGAGCGCCTCCCCCCCCCCCCCCCCCNCCCCCGCAAAAATGAGTACATTCATGCCAAAGTAAATCAAACGCGTGCTTTACGAACGACGGATCCTCAAAATTGTAGTTATTACGTGTAAAAAAATACTTTGATTATTGTCTTGTCTTGCTCCGCGGGTTTTCTGTATGTGTAGTACTGTGGTGTAGAAGGGTTTGGTACTCAAAAATAGTGGTTTTATCTGTATTTATGTATGTGATATATGTGTATGTATAAACCTTAAAAAACTGTGATTCTCGTCACTTTTTGTTTTATGTCTGACCAGCGCAACTCGATCTAGCTTTTCCATACGATTGTGTTGTAGCATCAATGGCTATACTGCCGTGCCTAGGAAAAACGCCGTGTGAACCTTCAAACGTTGCCAAATTTCCTCTGATAATAGACGAATTTCCTGGTAAACTGATGAATTTTTTCTTCCAATTTTTCAGATAATTTTGTTTGCAATTTCACCTAAAATTCCTGAAAATTTCAAGGAGAAATATTCATAATTTTTCTCAAAAATGAAAATTTTATCAAAAGAAATTTGGCAACGCCTGAAAGTTCATACGGCGTTCTTCCTTAGCACGGCAGTATATGAGTACTGTGCGTTACGCACGTTTACCGTCATGAATCCTCAAACTTGCATTCCTCGCAGATCCTCTCTCATTTTCTTCGGTTTTCGACGAAATGTCACCCGAGCACTCGTTTTTTTTGTGAACTTGTTTGTTTCTTTAAAAGGACTCCGAGCCCAAAACCATGAGATCCGGAGATTTTTGTCCAAAATTCTGTCCCCTAAAAATGGAGGACAGAGCGCCCCTCCCATAATGTACCAAGAACCCACAGAACCCAAGAATCAACAGTCAAATCGCAAATTCCTCACACATGCAACATCTCCATTGTTGCCTCGTCGAGAGGTGTGAGTGCCCGATCCCAGACTCCCTACGAGCCTGTAGCCTTAGCTTTGAGTGTTGGTCCGTTCCGTTTATCTTAAGGAGTCATCACAGTCAGTGATCTTGACTCACCGGTTGACATGACACACAGAGGAGAGCAAGGCGCTGATTGGCCGAGATGCCGCCGCTCCGACAGCCGGAAGCTGCGGGCATGGTAACGATCAGCCATCTCAGCCAATCAGCAACTTTCTCCTGCGAGCGGAGCGGTGAGTCAAGAACCAAGATCACCCGCGACTTGTCCGAGATCTCCACCCGTGGTGACTGGTGAGCTTATGACGAAATGCGTCGGTATCAACTTGGTCCGATCACCTTCTGACGTTTTTGCCGTGCTAAGGAAGAACGCCGTATGAACATCAGTGGCGTGGCGTGCTTTGCGATGTATCGATTGTTATTCCATTTAAATCGGTGGAAGAGGATCGTTAAACAGGGTGTTCGCAGCGAACACCTTAATAATCGATTCTTTACCATGGGTTTAAATGGCATGAAGATCGATGTATCGCAAAGCACGCCGCGCCACTGATGAACATTCTTGAGTTGCCAACTTGCCCCGGATAAAACATGTATTCTTGAGAACAGTGATGCGTATTTTACCTTGAAAATTTCAGACATTCTAGACGAAATGGACCACTAGACAAGGTACGAGTTAAAGGATTCTGGTACATGTTCCTTGACCCGAATTTTACGTGAAACACTACTCGCGCAACGAAAATTACTGAAACCAACCCGCAACGAAGATAGGAGTTGTTTCTACAGTCGTGCCTTCACTGCAATGTTGCAAAATCTCCGACTAGTTTTCATTTTTCAGAGGAGATTAAGCAAAATATCCTCCTACAGGGTTGCCGCAGTCAGAGGAAATCGAGAAATTTCAGGGAATACGGGAAAACCGCGCGGGAAATATCAGGGAACATGACGAAAATGACGAAATTGTCAGGGAAAAGGACGAAAATGTTATGGAAAATTTGTTAAATCGCCTTCATTTGCTTTCTAGACTGGGTTGAAGATTTCGAACAACAAATTTTGCCCGAAAACTATTTTCAATTATGCCCTCTGAACCACCCGTCACATCTTCAATTGTTAGGGAATCCCACCAAAATGTGTCAGGGAAATCATGGGAATGTCAGCAGGGAACTTGATTTTTAAATTCTGTGGGAACCCTGCGTATCCCCCCATGCAAGTAAAGTGGTTTTGGTTTTGTCGAATCGATCAAGTAGAATTTTTGAACCTTTGCAGCTTTTCGGACCATCCGTGGAGCCGGGCGGTCCAGCTAGCAAGAATAACTGACCTTACAAAAGGCGGAAAAGCCGAACCTATGGAGAACGGTCCAGAGTTGGTCCTCCGATAAAAAAAGCTCCCACTTTCAACGCGCCCCCAGGAGCCATCGACAATGGCGGCTCCAAGGAAGGTCTCGTTCTCGAAGACCAAGTACGGGAAGGATCTGGTGCAGTTGGACGGTTACGAGTACCGGAAATTACGGGAGAGCAAGGGCGGTGTGAGGACTTGGCTGTGCGTCAAGGAGAAGTCCGGCGAGACCAAGTGTCACGGATCCATCAAAACGGAGGGAGAATTTTACGTCGAGGGTAGTTTAAGGGATCACTGCCACGCGCCGTCGGATATCGAACTCGAGATCCGGAAGACGATCGAAAATTGCAAGCGGAGGGCCAGGGAAGACCATCGCGTCCCGGTACACCAAGTTTTTAACGAGGAATTTACGGTGAGTTGGATTTTACCCCCGTAAACTTCTGAGGAGAACAATGAAAACACATTAAATATGAAACAAATTGGTTTACAAGGCTAAGGACAGGGTTGCCACGGTTAGGGAATGCCGGGAAAACTGAGAAATGTCAGGGAATTTTAAAAAGTCAGTGAAAACCGGGAAATGTCGGGGAAAATTGGTTAAATCTTCTTCAGGGTGTCTAGCATCAGGAAAAACCGAAAAAATCAGGAATTTTGGCCGATCAGGAAAAAATCAGGAAAATCGGAAAAATCGGACGTTTTATAAGGAATTTTTCTTACGCGAATCTTCTCAACGGAGAAAGTCTCACTGCTTTTTGCCTACCGTGCCAGGAGTCGAGAAAAATCAGGAAAATATCAGGAATTTTCGAAATGAAAAAATACTAGACACCCTGTTCTTTATTTGCGCTCTAAAATGGGCTTGAGGTTTCGAACTACAAATTTTGCCTGAAAACCATTTTCAATTATGTCTTCTTAACCATTTGCCATATCTCCAATCGTCAGGGAATTTCACAAAAATGTGTCAGGGAATGTCATTTTACAAATTCTATGGCAGCCCGGTAAAGAAATCGAATAAACCAACCAGAATGTTTCGGGCCACTTACATGCCCATTCTCAACTGGGAAAAAAGCTGAAATATTAAAAATCAAAACAAGAAAATGAGCATGCAACTGATCGAGGTAGGAATCCGTGCAAACTCTGATACTTATTTTCTTGTTTTAATTTTTAATATTTTAGCTTTTGTTCCAGTTGAGAATGGGCATGTAACTAGCCCGAAACGTCCTGGTTTGTGTATTGGATTTCTTTAGCCTTGTAAACTCATTTTTTTGTCTTTAATGTGTTTTTATTGTTGTGTGCATTTCTGAGGAGAAAAATCACTTAAATCGCAAATCCCCCACACATACAAGAGCTCTATTGCAGTATGAGACCTTATCCAAAACCGATAATTTTCAATCGAAGCCTGATCTTCAAAATATTCTATGGATTGATAGAAGATCACCTGTCGAGTCCAAATACCCATGATTTCGTAAAGAAGAGAAGTGAGAAAGCAATCTTGAGTGCTCTGCACCCGGAAAAGATTCTCCATCAGCCCTAAAAATAATTCATAGATGAGGCCGAGTTGCAAATATCGATTTTGATGAAATCTTTTTTAAAAACACCCTATATTTTTAACTGAGACGCCACGTTGCTGCCGAAACTAGAGGAACACTTTAATTAATTTCGGGGATTGTTAAGTTTGTATTTTTTAATTTATATTTTTTTTTATACTCTTGAAAACCTTAAAGTAATGTTTCTGCAACCTGATCCGTTTCTCTCTTTAAATTTCATGAAATATAAATTTATGGTATGTCAGAAAAATTAAACTTCTCGAGATCTCTTGCTTTTAAATAATACCCAGGGTTGCCACAGTCAGGGAACACCGGGAAATGCCAGGGAGTTTTAAAAAGGCGGGAAAACGTGGAAATGTCAGGGAAAATGACGAAAACGCAAGGGAAAAATTGTTGGGTCACCTTTATTTGCTCTTTAGACTAGGTTAAACGTTTCGAACAACTTTTACCTGAAAACTATTTCTATAAGTATGTCTGTTCGACCCTCTGACATTTCTTCAGTTGTCAGAAAATTTCACCCAAATGTGTTTGGAAAATCAAGGGAATGTCAGGGCATTTCATTTTCTGAAATCTGTGGTAACCTTGAAATAGACCATTGGACCCACTCCCTTCATTTTACGACCAATGGAGATGTTGCATGTGTGAGGAATTTGCGATTTGACCATTGATTCTCATGTAAAAGTTCGCGAGAAACACGATGGTGCTTACTGGTTTTTTCTGAAATGTACTCCCAAGCTCAAAAAAAGCTCTCAAGTTGAGGCCAAAATGGAGGGGATATCCCATGCTATCCTGAGAGTCCACCTCTACATCAAGACAAACTCTCCATCCAAAGATAGGGAGCAAATACATTAGCAGGGATGCCGTGTTTTCAGTTTTGGAGTCCCCAAATAAAATGGCAGCCCTGTCAATGTATTTGCTCCCTATCTTTGCATGGAGAATTTGTCTTGATGTAGACGTGGATTCTTAGGGTAGGGTGGGATATCTCCTCCATTTTGGCCTCAACTTGAGAGCTTTTTTTGAGCTTGGGAGTTGACTTCAGAGAAAACCAGTGGCACCATCGCATCGTGTTTCTCGCGAACTTTTACATAAGAAACAACAGTCAAATCGCAAATTCCTCACACATGCAACATCTCCATTAGCATTTGTACATATCTCTTTCTTAAGGGACTCCTAGAATGTCAGATTTTTGCAAATGTTGGTTTTGAATAATATTGCAGGATTTGAAAGAGCGCGGTGCAGAGGTTTTGACAGCCCTCCCGAAGTATGCTAACGCTAAGACGCAGCTGTGCTCCATGAGACGGGCGTCTTTGGGAACAAAACAAAATAAGACCTCCAGCAGCGTTTCAACTGATTTTGATGGAACGAAACGCTTACCGAATTCGGGTGAGACATCCCATACTTAGAGCTTTAAGTCTCGCGGATCCGAGTCCCAACGACCCCTAACAACCCTCATGGGTTGGCCACGTCAGGGAAAACCGAGAAATGTCAAGAAATTTTCAAAAGGCAGGGGACACCCTCAAATGTCAGGGAAAATGACAAAAGTATCAGAGAAAAATTTTTAATTCACCTTACGTATAGTTCTCTTACTAGGATTTGACGTTAAGAACAACATTAAGTGAGAAAACTGGCAAAATCGCGTAATTTTTGCAAAAAAGCGTCAGTGTTTTTCGTAAATCTGCGGCCGAAATTACGTGTTTTTCGAAATTGCTACAATTTATACGTGCATAGCCGCAAAAAAAAAAAAAAGATATCTTAAACTTTCTTAGTAAAATGGGAAGAACTTTCTGCATCCCTGCCGAATTGTTTCTCGAAAACCTCCCTGACACACCGTACTGTCGTCCGACTTTAAAAAGCCGTAAGCATTCGAATGTTGCCGAATTTTTTCTTTGAAAATTCTCTCTTTGAAGAAAGTTATGAGTATTTCTCCATGAAATTTGCAAAATTTTTAGGCCAGCTAACGAAACAAATTCTCTGAAAGAAGCTGAGGAGAAATATTCGCAAATTTTCCTGAAATTTATGATTTGTCGAAAGAAATTTGACAACGCTTGATGGTTCGTACGGCATTCTTACTTTAGCACGGCAGAGGAACTTACCTCATACAAAAATGGATTGCATTTTGCAAAGTGGATTGCATTTTGCTAAAAGGAACCACAAGCATTCCAATGTCGCTAAGATTGTGCAACTTTAATTACCTTGCAAATATTAACTGATCATCTATACAAGTTTTATCTTTACTCCCAATAAACTATAAATTCAATACGAAAATTACCATAGTTGAGATGATTCGATGGACGCCATATTTTGTGTCAGAACGGCATGCGATATGTCGCATCAATTGGTTCCATTTTTTTTTAGCTACTCTTCATTTTTCTCCAATTTTGAGATCGCAATACTGTTGTCAGGAGGCTAAAGCACTCACGTACCAATTTTAACAAAAAAATTCAACGTAGTAAAGGCGCGGTTTTTTTAGAGAGAAAATATCGCTTTCGAGTGCAGTTTCGATATCAGTATCGAATGCGATGTTTTCTCTGTGAAAAAAAACCACGCCTTTACTACGTTGAATTTCTTTGTTAAAATTGATAAGTGAGGGCTTTAGTCTCCTGACAACAGAATTGCGATCTCAAAATTGGAAAAAAATGACGAGTAGCTGAAAAAATGGAACCAATTGATGCGATATATCGCATGCCGTTCTGACACGAAATATGGCGTCCATCGAATCACCTTGATTTAATTTTTTGCAAGGTTTCAGTAATTTTATTGTGAGGAATATAAGTTGCTCAATCCTAGCAGCATTGAAATGCTCTTGGTTCCTTTGCAAGGTGCAATCCAAATATAGGTAGTTGCGATCTTTCACGCGAGGTGTAATGTCACGGAATCAACCCTAAGTCTACGAAAATGTGTTCGAAAACACACAAACTCGGAAAAAAAATTGTTCAAGAAACACCTAAAACTGCGCTGCGGGCGAAGAAGTTAGTTTAAGAAAGATTTTGGTGCCAAAGGACAAGTACTTAGAGACTTTGTAAAGCATCAAGTTGAAATCTATACACCATGTTTGATGACAGAGAATTAAGCGTTTCAAAATTTCCGAATTGGTGTTTTTTTGTTCTCACCGACTTTCAGATACTGGTTTTTCATAGTCTGCCCAGAAAAATTTGTATTTTTCGACCTGAAGAACGCTTGAATATTCATATAACTTGTTGGTACAAGGTATACTGAACCGAAAAAAGAAAACTGCAAAATCGGATGGTCACCGGTTTCCCTTGAAATGGCCAACAATTGGTATTTCCAATGTAATACTTCGATTCTTCCCCTTTCCCGTCTCTGTTTCGAGCACTTCCGATTGCAATTTCGAAATTTCCTTTTGCGCGCAGATGTTTCTATCCATAAGTGTTACTACCGTAAAAAAGTGAAAATCGAAAAAAACCCGAGTCGGTGTGTTTTCGAACTCACTGATTCAAATGAATCATTAAATACAAAAAGGGCACAAGTCCAGAAAACCAAATCGTTCAGGAGACACAAAAAACTGTTTATTTCGTGGTAGATATTTTGCGGAAAGTCGTTATGTTTAAAGAAACCGGCGCGCCGGTCTCCTGAACAATGGGCCTGTTGCAAACTTTTGCTAGAGCAGAATGAAGAGTTGTCTCCTACAGATAATGCCTCAAAAATCACGATGAGCGCATCGGCAAAGTCTGAAATGCACTCATAACTTCACAATCTGCGTAAGAAATTTGCGTTATTTTGAGCTTCCCGCTTCAAAAACGATACTACTGCACAGGTGAACATTTTGTTAGAGGAGTCGCTCCATCGTCGGCAATATTCATCATGGCCGACGCTTGCGCAGTTCCTCGCGTAATTCGAGGAGAGTTCAAGGTCAATTAAGGCGGGCGAGGAAAATATGAACGTAAACACGCCGATTGTTATATGGTTTAATCCTGTTCAAGTGTTATCTCGTCCCATCACACGTGTTTTGGCGGACTGGCGTCGGCCATGATGAGTATTGTCGCCAATGGAACGACTCCTCTAACAAAATGTTCACCTGTACCGTAGTATCGTTTTCGAAGCGGGAAGCTCAAAAAACCGCAAATTTCTTACACAGATTGTGAAGTTATGAGTGCATTTCAGACTTTGCCGATGCGCTCATCGTGATTTTTGAGGCATTATCTGTAGGAAACAACTCTTAGTTTTGCTCTAGCAAAAGTTTGCAACAGGCCCATTGTGTGTTCCCTTTGTCTACCTTGTGTCTCCTGATTATTTTGGTTTTCTGGACATGTGCCCTTTTTGTATTTAGTGATTCAAATATAGTTGCGGTCTTTCACGCGAGGTGCAACGTCACGGAATCAATCCAAAGTCTACGAAAACGTGGCTCTCCGGAATTACTCACCGTGATTCCCGTGGTTTTTTTTTTTTAGATATACATTTTAGCGGAAGGGAAGTCGCGTGGATTGTGATGGCGCGGCGGTCATTGACGATCAGTTCTGGTCAGGTCGGTGGACGGAGACGGGTCGACTCCTGTCCTCGTCGTCGCGGATTAAAACGATGTCGTGTTTCATGCATAAATTCGCTCGAAAACGAAAGTTCGGTCGCTCGTTTCGGCTCATCTTTTCCGTATTATTCGTCAGCGCTTTTTACTCGCGGCCTTCGTTAAATAACCCTTTGACATTTGGTGCGGACGATGTCGGTGGCGTCGAGAATGTGGTGCATCTCTCGTTTTCGACTTGTGATGGACTGTTTTTGTGAACACGTAAGGGAGCATCCAACAATTCGGCAACACTGGATTTCCTCTATTGAAACCTATGTTAAATAATCGATTCTTGTCGGAGCACCTGGCCCCTTGAAGAATCGATACATTTCCATGGGTTTAAATGGACCACGTTTAACAGAAAGGAACCAAGCCACATCAGCTATTGCCAAATTTAACTGGGCAATTTAATTTTATATGTGAGAACGTTTGTGCGGGTTCCTTTGAAAATTTTAAAGAATTTGCTTTGCGCTATGGAGAAAATTCACTGAAATTTGCACAAAAATCCACAAAACCGTTTTCATGTATACAAATAAAATGCCCAATTAAATTTGGCAATAGCTGATGTGGCTTGGTTCCTTTCTGTTAAACGCGGTCCAAATCAGAGTGCCTTTATAGATAGAGTATGGCCATTTCTGTGCCGGTTTTTCATTGGTCGCGAGAAATTAGGCTGACACGATGTTCTTACGGCCGTAAATAAACAAACAAGATAGCTGTTATCAGCAAGCAAGTTTGAGGTTATACACATCTGACGTCCTCCTGTGATAAAAGCGAAAGGCAATTTAACGGTATTTTCGTGTGTTTTCCATGTGTTATTCGTAGATATGCTAGTTTACATAGTTACCGCCGTATCGTTAAAATTTTTGTCAAATTTTAGCTTCTTATCAATGTTACGGAGAGTCGCCATCTTGTTTGTTTTTTTACGGCCGTAAGTGCATCATGAAGCCTAAAAACTCGTTGACCAATCAAAAAGTGGCACAGCTTTCCTTTAGTAAAAAGATACGAATGACCATACGCTGTCTATAAAGGTACTCTAGTTTAAATAGAGGAAAAACAATGTTGCCAATTTGCTGGATCCGCCAATGATAAGAACACGTCATTCGATATTCGCCGTGCTGCCATTTTCTTTTACCATCTTTTCTTTCATTCTGGGGTTCCCGAAATTCAGTCCAGTTTCCAAAAGTCCCGAGAAAAATTCCAATTTTTTTCGAAAGTTCCGGGGAAAATTCCAAGATATCCCCGGATTCAGTTCCAAAGATCGTCAACTTTGACCATAAAATCATCCAATTCGATCAAATAATTAATCGATCGGACGAAAAACCCCCAAAATCCCGAAAATAGCTGGAAATTCCGGGAATTTCGAAGAGTCTGAGTATAGTTGCTTGAAATTACAGAAGTACCGAAATTGGGAATTGTTCCGGGATATGGCAGCACTGGACATTCAATAGCTCCACTCAGAACAAATGAACAGTTTTGATATCAATCGTTTTACCGATTTTACAGTGATAGTCATACCGAAGTCATACCGAAGTTTACAGTGATATGGATCTCACTTTGCAATAAGGAACCACAATTTCTGGCTCATTTTAGAAACAACATAAATGCCATTGGTTTCCCTATGGAGAAAGGTGTTTTTATGAAAGAGCCAGAGATAGTGATTCCTTATTGCAAAATGTAATCCATATATCGAATGACGCAGTCTCTGTATAATGGCTGTGTCATTCACGGGATTTCCGATGGTTTCAACCGCAACGATAGAACAGCGCCCAGTCCAAACTCTGTGTGCAGTATAGACGTTAAAACTTTCAGGCCTTACAACTTCCGTTTTGTGTCTTTCTCAAGACATTATCCTCTAGCTTCTTTT